GACACTAGTAACCACAGTATGTATCACCTAACAATACAGTAACATCTATTCACTCTGGCGGATTTGGCAATGAGGGTTGTTCAAGAAGGAGGAGTATTTTCTGGAATCGCCATTGAGGGACGTTCTTCGAGGACGGCACCTACCCGAAAGGTATTTGCGTAAAATAGTCACTTTCGGGTCCGAATTGAGCACGGTTACAACCAGATGTTCTCTAAAAGATTTGCTATGACTGTAGTTTACCGTCAGTAGAATATTGATGTCTGCTGATAATAGCATTATACAATACGATTAAACATAAGTGTGCGTTATATCACTTAATACTTATGCGCTGAAATACTAAAAATGCTCAATAGCAGTGTAAATTGTATAGGGCGGACTGAAAGTCGGTTCCGCCAACGTCATAGCTTGAGTTTCCATCCTGTCCTTCGAAATGTACACTGTCATTGCACTAGGAAAAACGGATTATCCTTAGGCTTAACTGATTATAGTTGAAAAAGGTCAGGTGATTCGGATTAAGCAGGGATTAGATATTAATACTTTTGATGGTTACAGTGATTATGGCAGGGAGTTTAGATTGGTAAGAGTCATGATTCGAAGGTGGAAGTCAATGTAGTAGGCTGTGCAGGTGAAATTAAAATAGCCGGGGGTCGGAATATTAAGATTGCTAGAGATTGCAGACTTCATCACAATTCCATATAGCCTGATCCAATTTAACGGATGCCGCATTTGGTTTGCTAAAACCGAAATAATAATTACCTGCTTATAGCACCATTAAAGATGGTCGGTGTTCCTGAAGGAAATATTTTTACCAATCTGAATGAATTCAAATGTGGCTCTTTTTCTACAGTATTATTTACTAAAAAACATTTACAGCGGCGTAATTCGAAATCTGTCCTGTTGCGTTTTAACGACATAATGACACTACATTTTCGCACCCTGCTAATCAAACGCAATCATCTGCTGCGGTTATGGAACTAATACAATAGTGGGCAAATGAAATAAATCTAGTTAGTTGCTTTGTCCTAACCGTGAAATACATTTATTGAGAAATCTTGTTTTTTAAATCTCTTGTGAATAAGCCTTCTGACTTAATTTTGCTTTTGTTAAGGTGCATTTCTGATCCCCTACTTCATAAGTTGCTTCCTTGTTGGCATCCCGATGTTCTTCCTGGAGGTTAGTGTTGGACAGCTTATGTCGCGCGGTGGACCAGCGGCCTGGGAGATCATCCCTCTGTTCAAGGGTATGTATTACCTTGAAAACATTCTCACTTTTGTTCCTATAAAATTTGATCAATCTTCCATTGCTTATCGTCATTCGAGTTTGTTTTTTGCCTTCACAGGAGGGTCGATCCATTATAAGGCAAGAATATACTTAATACGGTAGGATTGTGTCGTGGGGTTCGTCTGGGGAAAGTGTGAAGCGCGCCCCGCAGGCATACGAACGAGTGATTTTCGGGGAGAGGACGGGCGGGCATGCCAGGGGAGAAATGAGAACCCGATTTGAATGCCCAATAAAAAAGTTACGAGGGCAAGTTGGGTCGCGTACTCAAACCTTGGGAGAAGACACGGAAGGTAGCTTTAATATCATCGCTAACCCCCCGCCCGACCAACGTAAGGGGGTGTAGGGGGTGTGCCAAAACCTCGGGCGAGGTCACTGAAAAACATTTTCCAGTGGTATCAACAAAACCAACTAGAAAAAAGCTTAACACAGTACAAAATGCAGGGGGATTAGGCAAATCACCCTACTTAAAGTTTGTAAGCAAGCGGTAGTTCCCGTGGGTAGTTCAAAAGGCCAATTTTGCTTG